GGAGGCGGGTGGCCGCTTGACGTTCCAACTGTTAGGACTTTGAAATAATTTGTCTTGCGCGCGCAGTTTGCTAATGAACCGAAAATAAACTTTCAAACTAAATACATGGTATTCTCGCACTGCATCGGTTTTCGTCTCGAGTCTTTTTGAAATATTATTCAGTTGTTGCCGTGGTCCATTTTGACTGTAGTGAACCGATCGACATTCGGAATGGCTTTTTTTTTTTTCGGTCTTCAATCTCTCGATTGGTTGGCCGCAGCTCTCCAAACTTCTCTGTTAAAACTCAGCTCCTTTAGATCTCGATAACTACCTATTTCCGTGTCCTTCATAATCTGTGAAATGTATTCCATTCTTGGTGTTCCTCTTCCAGTTTTACCGTCTACAACATATCCTTCGGAATGGCTATAGTGGTAAAATTCCAAAACAAAGTTCATAATCTAGTATATCGTCTCAACGCGCATTATATTTTCCGATTGGAGCGAGGGATACATCTTTTGAAGGTTTTGCCGTCGCGGAACAGTTCAAAGCGAAATCCCAGAACCGACAAAAAAACAATATTTTGTCGAAAGCCCGACACTCTCGTCCAACTTTGCATAATCGAGTATTATAACATGCTTAGGCGAAAACTTTTTGGGGTTGCTGATATCGTCAACAAAATTACATTTACGGCTACAAAAGAAAATAACAACCATGGAAAAATATAACTATTCAAATAAAAATGATCGAAACGAGTTGAATTCCCAAGAGTTCTAAAATGATATCTTATGTATATTAAATTCACAAATATCATGTTTAGCACCGATGACCGATACGATAATTACTACTATTTTATTGTCGAACTGGGACACAAGTTGTAAACAGAACAAAATTAGTCGTTTCAAATTAACTAAACGAGTCTATATTACCCGCGTTTGTCGTTAATATACAAAAAAAAATGGGCCTTTTTTTTTTTCATATTTCATATCGATCTCAATGCATTCGGAAGGTGACTCGTTTTAGGAGTATAGCAGCATATTGTGTCTATGATAACACATTATTATGATGTGTCGTCGTCGGTGATGCGTAATTCGCTTAAAAAGCGCGTCGGGGCGGCATTTTGCAGTTATTAACAACAAAGCGCTTGGTAATTAATATCAGACACTCGCTCGGGGGCGAGAACAATTTATATACATACATACACATTACTGTTGTTGTTATTATTATTATTATTATGATGTAAGAGTCTCGCTCGATTCCTCTCTCTCTCTCTCTGGCACGCTGTGTTTTGTTAAACCGTGCGAAATCTCCGGTATTTGTACACCTGACAATACGGAAACACAACCGCCACCCTTTCTTATAGACACACCGCGTAAATATACATACGGCTGATTTTAATGAACGGCAACGCGGCTTGGAGGATTAACGGACAAGCAAAAGCAGTGGAAAATATATTATTATGTAAAAACAACAACGTTTTCAGCCTCGACCAAACGACAGGGTCGGTGAGAATAAATTTAAACGGCGTGTTTATATAATTTCTTAAAATAACGTTTAGCGTGTAGTGTGCTTGACGGGCGTGCTAAAATAAATATACAACTCGATGACTTTATAAAGATTTGCTCGGTTTGCTTTGTAACCTCTATGGCTTGCACGACACGCCGACGAGCTTATAACGTGTTCGCGCTTAAAACACGTTGTACGGTTTAATCGTTAACGTACACATTACTGGATAACAAAAAAAAAAAAAAAACAATACTAATAAGATCATCTCTAAAGTTATGCGTGTTTCTTGCCGAGTATTGCAGACCCCATTTGTATGGCTAAGAAGATAGAGGCTGTTACTTGCAGAGAAGAACGCGCGCAGACAGATAAATGGGACTCGGCATTGGCATAAAATATAATATTTTCGATTAGCTTTTGATTTCCATTTACAATGTTTTATGCCCACATCAACGGCAATAGTTATTATTTATGATTTGCTCAGCTCAACGATGACGCTTTGAGTGGTCGTTTGTGTGCAGGTGAATGCATGTCCATTGTACAATGTTCTTTTGCAGTACTATTACTACAATTACTATACGATATTATTGTAAGCGTCGTGCTAGAAGGTGTGGGCCATGGGTCAGCTAATGAAAACATCACCGAACCGGTAGCTCTAGTGTATCGTGTACGCTGTTGTTATTGATGCGTTCCGAACACGCGATTACAGGACAGAGCATCTACCTACGGTAAACGCGTGCAAAATGAACACCGAGTAATTGAGATATATTTACTTTAGTTTCCCCCCCCCAAAAAAAAACACACATTATTAATTAATATTCGTTCTATTTACAATGGCCCCAAAAACTAATACGAAACGCGGATTACCTATTATGATATCATTTTGTCATCGACGGTTGTCACTTGTCATATATACTTGTACGTCGGAACACCTGACCAATACAAACTGCATTATTTGGATTATTGATCGAAAAAATGTCCACAGAAATGCGCTTTTTCAATATATTCTACAGATGGGTGTCCGTGGGTTATCTATTGAACGGCGTTTTATCCATACAGTAAAAGTTATTCTACAACTGTCAAATATTTAAGCGAATGCTAAAACTGAAGTCACGGATACTAATAATTATATTAGAAAAATCCGCGAAAGCTTCAGCGCGGTAGAATATTATAGTGGTAATAGTTGTACGGGAGATCATGAGTCATGGCAGGGTACACAATTAAATACATATTATTATTATTATTACACGCGGTTTTCCTACCACGGTTTAACGTTTCGTTACAAAAAGGGTTTAAATCGTCGTTTACAATGTATTTTATTAAATAAGTGCTACCGTTCCGGATTGGAGCAACGATCGATGATCGATGAGAAGAAACGTCAACGCCACCGACAGTCGTCGTGCACAGTTAATTCGAGCCGTACGATAGGGACGGTATAAGCCCGCTTACAGCTTTATCATATTAGTATTTATTATTGAGTCTGGTAATTCGATTGTAGGAAAAAGACGGAGAGGGTCGGTATAAAAAGCGCGATGATGAAAAAAACCGCCGGTCGTGCGGTATCATGCGACGGTAAAAAGTCGGAGGGCGGCGGATCGAATAATAACAAAGAGAAGACGATGGCGTTTTGTGTGTGGGTACGAGTATGAAGTGTAGAAGGACTTAAGCTCTGGGCGATATAACATGTACGCGTCGGCCGGGTTCGTTATGAAAGGTAGTGCACGTCAAAGGTCTTGAGGGACGCAGAGATGATATTGTATAATATATATTTATATTATATTGTATCTGTAACATTGTGCCGTTCTATAGTTGTCTGGCCGTACTTAGAAATTAACGCGTCCGGTGATTATAATGTTGACTTTTGAGATTTCCAAAGCGCCGTCGGCGATTTTCTCAATTTTTTGCCCCCCGAGCAACGTTCTGCCCTTATCCTCGACCGAATCGGAAACGAATGAATTCCGCTAATTGCGTCGGTCATTAGCAAATGGTCTCGCGGTGGTATTATCGGAAAACGGTCGAAATCTACTCACTAACATAATTAATTATTGTATCGAACCGACGGTCGTGTAAGCGAATCTTGCAAAAATAATAATAATAATAATAATATATAAAGCTGCTGCACGTTTGGCCGCGACAGGAGGGCGAGAGAGGATGGTAGTAGTGATATAACTTATGCGTTTAATATCCGGTCTTGTAATTAAAATTCGTTTTTCCGCATTTCGAACACGGCGGTAAAACTCGGAATAAGGCGGTTTAAAAAGAAAAACAATTATTTAGCTTATACAACTCGGTGGAGAACTAAAGTCTCGACATGTTGTTTCTGTTTGTTATATTGACTTCGCCGATGTTAATTTGCGATTTTTCGCGTTTTTTTTTTTCGTAAAAATAACAATACCGTAGTTTGCTCGTTTGTGCTTGTACTTAAGTGAGATGGAGAGAAAAAAAACAGTCGAGGTTTTCAGTTTAAGAATAAAATAAGTTAAAATAAAAACTTTGCGAAAGTATTCATTAAGTCTTCGCAGTCTTATATAATATTGTACAACCCACGCCTTAAAAAAATAAAACTTAAATTTTAATCAAGAAAAACGTCGCTCGATCGCTTATTAATTTGTCCACACCAGATGGGCTTTACTTGTATAAAGAATACAAATAAGTAAAACCTATTATAAAAGCTGATCTCACCGCCGTATATACGCCTATTTCTTATTCATTGTAACTATTTCATTTTTATCTCATAATATTTTTAATTTCAGTCTAGTCTATACAACAATAACAGTATGTACTTTTAATCTGAAAGCTAAGCCGATACAAATTGTTGCAAATACTTATATAATATGCTTTTTTTATTTATAGTCGGTTAGGACTGAACAAATTATGCTCACCATATAAGACAAAATTAACAAAAAATCCCGTATGTTATAATTTATCGTTATATATATATATATATATATACTGAGCTATATATATATATATATATCAGTATAAATGGATTCTGAGGCTCAGAAAATGTTCTATTGCTTGGGGATTCACCCGAAAGCTTAGGTTTTAGTTTGCCAGTGCTTGTTGCACCGCGGGCCCGTCTGTCGCCTGATTTGTATACAAATAATATATTATAATAATAATTGTGTTATCTATCTATACTTTTATCGAAATGTTTCCGAACATTTTTACTCTTAAACAACTTTATGAAGTAGGTATCGATTGTGTTAGATTCATTTGTAATTTAAATTATCAACTAATTAAACTAAGTCATTGTAAATATTATTCGAAACTATATAACACATTATATACGAATGCAAAAAATATAACGTTTTGTGGTTTAAAATTGTATTTCAAATACAAGTAATATACGACCGAATTTAGTTTTTTAAACAAAATTATGTGGAGTTAACGCGTAACCTGACATTTCGGGCGATATAATAACCACGGTCCAGGGCTCAGCTGACGGTTTGGGGCTACCGGCTATGTTATCGTACTGTATGATTTTTTTTTTTGTTTCTTAACTAGTTTTCAAGACTTGCCTTTCAAATGCAACCAACTGCACAGCGCGATCAACGCGATCAGCGGCCTCGCCATGGTGCGTGGTTCTCGGCGCGATTATCCTCCTTGTCGTGCCGGATACTTCCACGACTGCAGTATTATTTTCGTACTTGGCGAGCACAAGGGGTACACACGTCAGTTATCACGCTTTCGCGACGGAAACAACCGGCGGCCAGTCGAAGCCGGCGGCGTTGGTTTACGCATGATAAAGAAAAACAAATAATTTTTTCTTCTTTTAAAAATCGCACTTGGAGTCAAATTCGCGCGTCCCGTGAAAACGTTTGTGGGGTGTATTTTTTTTTTTTTTTTTAATGTAAAATCATACGGATCGTCGTCGACGGCGAGAAACGGAACGGCTCGTTGCTGCGCGCCACCAGTGCGTGCGGATCGGCGGCCGGTCCTGTATTGACTGCGGCGGCGGCGGACAGTGATAGTTGATGGCGCGAGGCGGCAGCACATCAACGATCCCTTCCCCTGCGTCCCTCGGCGCCCGCTCGCCGCGGGGGGGTGTTTATTTTTCTTGTTGTTTTGGGACGGTCGCCGAGCGCCCCAAGCGGAACGAGTTTTCGCGCTGGCCTCCCCCGCGCGCATATTATTATTATCATCATCGTATCCACACACACACAAGCCCGAGGTTCTTACGGCGGGTTTGTATGGGGCGAAAATCCCTCTTCACCACGTGCTCGCGTCAAGTGCGCATCCCTATAGCCGGTCACGAGTCTCACGTATAAAACATATACAGGTTTCTCGAAGCGGCTTTTCTTTCTCCGTCTCTCTCTCTCTCTCACTCTCCGTTTCTTTACCAGACAACACTAGGCAGCGCAGATAGGAGTGCGAGTGATACGGCGAATGAGACCAAAAAAATGAAAAAAAACCGCATGGAGTCCGGACACGCGAGGGGAGGGATTGGTTTTGTTTAAGTTGAAAAACGCCGTGAATGTTAAGTGCACCGGACTTAACGGTTGACGGGCAGACTAGGTTTCCGGAAAACTGTACAATCGTTATTATATAATAGTAAACTAGTTCAACGACGGACATTGATGAACATGATTTAAAAATGCAGAAACATAGATTTAGTTTTTTATAATGTAATATACTGCCAATAATTGTAAGGCATATCTTATCGTTAGTGGAAAGTGAAGTCGAAGGCAAAACAAATTGTACTTTTTCACCTAATATAGTGCACCAAGAAAGATTGTCTGTTTGATTACAATAAGAAAAGTGTCCCTAAAAGTTAAAAACGAAAAAGTTTATTTTACCATTTCTAATTGAATAATTTGTTTTTATTAAGTAGGTATCGAGTCCTACTACAAAGTTTATTATTCATTCACAATACCATCTGATTAGATACAAGAGTTATTGTTAGTTGCATCACGTATGACATTTATATTTTATAGCTACGGTAAAACACCGATCACTAACCTTGGGGGAGATAAGCCCCCCAAAAATGCCTCGACCCCTTGTAAATGCTATACGCGGCCATATGCAATTGACTTATTCATTCGTATTAAACTATTATTCAATATTCTTTTTACAAAACATTTAACTAAAAACGACATCAATGGCAAAAGTTAATGAATTATGTTATTGGGGTCTTTTTGTGTTCAAAAACCAGTTTTTATCAATAATATAAAGCTTATAATCGTCAGTATAACATTTTTTTTTCAAAGCGTAACGCATATCTATTACATCTTTGAACCCGTCATAAAAAATATAAAAATTAGGTAGAGACATCAAAAAGATCATTGCGGCCACTGTTTTGGAAAAAGGTAATTTGTTTCTATCGAGATCAAACGTTCTGGACCGTATAAATAGTTGTATAAACTAATGCCCAACTTAACGATTCATACAAGACACACATAAAATACGTTTTAACCAAATTCGATTTTTGCTAATAATTTATTATTGTGTTTTGTTTTATATCTACATATTATAAATTAACAAGTTTCACATCCATAGATTATTATTTATTTTTGATCCATTACCTTATACTTGCTAGATGACATCTACACATGTCCTATATAAATACATTGTAGTACATAATTTGATTATTTGTGTTTAATAATAAAGTTTATTTTAATATGACAATTTTTCTGTAAAACTAGTGTTTGCATTTTAAAAGCAGTCGCGTGCGTTTAAAATGAAATAGCAAACTTCCATTTTCTTGTGTCAGCATGTCATGTGTTTACTCTCATTAGGCATAATTTTTCAAAAACGAAACAACCGAGTAACACAATTTTATAGACTGTGAACAAAAAAAATGTTTTTAGTTATATACAAATATATATTGGTTATTATTATGATTCTTTTTCACATTGTTAAAAAGAATTACATTCAAATATATAAACAATACTAGCCGACTGATATCTTATAACATTATCCTTGCGTGACATTTTAAACTTACCTACACGTAAAATAATAGTTGTTTTACTTACTTTCAAAAACAAGTTTAAATCGACTACTTTTTCCTGAGTAAATCTGAGACTCAAATTGTTAGCATTATTCATATTCATTGCTAACAATATCGTACGTTTGTTTCCCATATCCTTTTCTGTCCAGCCTGTACTGTATAGGGCGAATTTAAAGCAGCATCTTTTTGAAATGTATGTTGTATAATATGAAATTTTATAGTTTCAAAAAATATATTCTTGTGAAATCTTTCAAACAAATATTTTAAAATAATGAAAATAAAGTTAAAATGAGTTACTATACTAAGATTAAATATATTTAAAAAAAACTTGTAGTTTATACCTTATTTTTAATATATTTATTAGATCTTTATAAATAGAAATTAAATAACAAATTTAAGTCACATAAATAGGATTATTGTTTAACATACAAATGAAAAATAAATAATTTAACAATTAGGACAACTGTTTTAAAGTTAACATATTTTGTAATACACTTATTTTGAAGAGCGTTTAAGTGGTAGTACCCTGGTTCTTTAAAATAGTTGTGTAAGCAACGAATATCTTATTGAAATTGGACCATCCTATGTGGTCGACATTCTGTCTGGCTTTTTAGTTTCAGCGTAACAAAAATGGTTTTTACTAATAGAAATAATTATTTAAATCAAACACCTTAGTCTTTGAAGTTTATATAAATTATACGGTAAATTAATTGACAAGGTCGAAATTTATTAAATTCTTTTTTTTTTTTATATATTGCCTATACAAAACTCCCTAAAAACAAACCGCATGCAACTCCCTAAAGTAATTTTTATGATAGCTAAAGAAGTTTTAAAGAATATTTCTATGGTACAAAAGAATTATAATTGTTATTTATATTTCAAACAGATATTTTATAGTCAAAATTAATGTATCACACAAATGATCATTAAACAACAACTATTTCCTTGCAATAAATTGTTAAATAATAAACTAAAATAATAAGAATAGGTAAACTAGCTTGTATAGTAATATAAATTTAATACATTTGTATTAAATTTATACTGAACATATACTGTATTTACAGTATATGTTCAGTACCTATTGAGCAAATTATCTTATTTGTTTGGATGGGATCGAGCACTTCGTTTCTGTATTAATTCTATTAAAATATCATAAAAATTAAAACAAAATTCGAAGCAGTATTGTGTCAGTGAAATTTGTATTAATTGGGATTTTTAATTTAAAAAAAGTCTTACCGGTGTTGCAAGAAATGAAAAACATACTACACCAACCCAATTTACCCAAAACGGTAACATAATTGTTTTTCGAATAAATTTATAAACATTTTCCAATTTTCTGAAATAATATGTTCATAATATCAATATTGTAAAGTAAAAAATATTAAGTCAAATTCTGCGGTTTTTATATGTACAAAATATAAAACTTCTAATGAATAACATAATACAAATAACTAACATATTTGTTCGCCTGATTTGTAAAATCAGTTTTATAAAATAAAACCTTTAATTTAACTACTTTTGTGCTGATTTAAATCCTCATAGAATACCCTGTTTAGAGTAAAGAATTTATACATACCTACTGAACTTGAAATCATTTTCATACCATGTCATTTTTTTTTTAAACAACGGTACAAGTAATTTATTGTTTTTTAACTTTTTAATATTTTAAACTTCTACCCGATTAAATCAAATTCATTTAGAATAGATATTTGAATACATTCAATTTTAATGTTTTTAATGATTAAAAAGATAATATATTAGAAAAAAATGTTTCACTTTTTTAATTTGGAGCATACTTGTACAACATTATTGTGTAGAAATTAAAACATTCATGAATAATAATGAAATATATCTTAAATCATAATGAAAAATAAATTGTATTTTAATTCAACACTTTTACCGGCAGCTCATTGTTGAAAGGTAGGTACTAAGTACATAGAATATATGAAGTTTGGGATAAATTGCTTATATAATGCGGTAAAAGTGGGAATTTTTACAAACAGCAAACTCGTTTGGACGAACTTAGGGGCTTAGATTATTGTTGATGCAGTTTTAACTTTCAAGTGCACTACGAAATCCCGTAAACACGGGATTGGCCGTTGTATATATTCTATACTTAAAAGCAAGGCGTACGTAGGACTAACCGCACGTCCTTAGCGTGATGACCTTTATAAGCTAATTTTAACCTTTGGTACTGCCGACCTGGACACCTCCGACAAACGGTTAAGGAGTATTTTAAATCTTTTGTTTTACAATATTGGACAGAATTCTCATATTATAACTATCGTCTAGTTTAATTATTATATAAATATCATTATAATCTGTAAATTTTTTTTTTATAAACTATAATATAATTTATGCGTGAGCTTTGAATAGAATAGCGATAGAGATTGTCACGTTTTCGACGAATGCAATCATTACACAACATTAAAATGTACAATTATTATTATTATTAAAATGTACCTACATTCTTATGAAATCTAGTTTAATAAATATTGGAAACTAACGCTTATTTGATGGATTCCGTAACAGGACGAGTAGGTTAAAAAAAAAAAAAAAACACGAGCAATAAACAAAATTTGTCTTTTTTTATTGATGAATGAATTTTTTTTTTACATATTTTAACAATCATATTTCTGAGTATAGAAAAAATAATGATGATTAGACTATTTTTGATTTGATATAAATAATTATATATATATAATATAATTATTATTATTATTATTATGATTCATTCGTTTGTCGTGAGGTATATTGGCGTTTTCAAATCTTCCTTAGTCAGTCGATTCGTTTATGTGTATAATAATAATATGTTTGCTGTATACTTATTAAAGTGTAAACGGCCCACGTGTGTAATAATTTCCGGTTTAAACGCTTTTCTGTGCAATCCACGTGGAGATTATGATTTTTTATTGCTAATTTGTATTATTCAAAAATCGGTTCTGATGAAAAGAAAAATGATTTGCTATTAATTTTAATTTTGTTTTTATTGATAAAA